TTTTAGTTCTTGTACTGTATTTTGTAAACTCTTTTTGTTTTTGTAAAAAAAAAAAGGGTACATGGTGTATTTTTGTGGAAACTCGAGGGTAAAGAAATGTATTTAGGGTGATTTTGAGTCATAATTAACCCTAACGATTGACAAAGTTAACAATCAAAAGTCATTAAGGGTCTATAGTGTATTTTGTGGAACTCGAGGGTATATGATGAATTCTAAAAATTTCATGGGTATGTGGTGAATAAACAAAAAACTCAGGGGCATATGGTGAAAAACCCGTTCTTTATATTACAAACAATGTTCTTCAAGGTATACAAATTAAGTATGTTCTTTTTACTTGAATAATATGTTCTTAAATTTTAAATTTTGAATTTTTGAAATTTAAAAATGAAATTTTGAATTATATTTGGGTGAAAATAATTTTGGATAGAGAAATTCTTGATATCTAAATATTTTAAAATGTTTTGACATTAAATTTTTGGTAAAACTATATTAATTATTATCTGTTATTTTTTTAAAAACATCATTTATCATAAATTATTGTTTTCTTTATATTTTAGTAATATGTTCTTTTATGAATTTATGATGTTCTTTATAAGCGCATGGTACACCCGGGTATACGAACCACCAATTGTTTGCTTTTAATTTGTGTTGTTAGTTTCCTTTGTCAAAAAAAAAAGAAAAGAAAAACGGGTAAGTATTACCTGTGTTAATTTTTTGAGTATTTTTTATGAGATACTTTTTCCGTTCTTTTTTTATTGCACTATAGGAGGTTGACACAAGATTTTTGGTAGTGGAAAAAAAAATGAGAGAGAAAGGTAAAAATACAAGATTGTCCATGTGATGGTATACATAAACTAAATAATCATGTGTTGAAAAATAAGGGCATATTTGGTATTTGTAATGTGAACACAAGAATTTATTTTCCTAAAATAAAAATGGTGCAATATTTGTGATATTTTCTTAAATGGCAAGTGGTACAATATTAAAAAAATGGAGGAAATATAAAATATTCCAAAGTTCCAATAAAAAATTAACGGAGGTAGTAAATTTTCTTCCAATAACCTCAGAAAACCCTAATATTTATAACACCCCTCAAAGTCCGTAACCACAAGATCCAAATTTCTGCATCAACCTCACTTCAAATTAGGGTTTTAGATTTGTAGGGTTATATCATTTCCGCCTCTTTCTCACTCACTCTCTCCTCGGAGATCCTGCAATCATGGCGACCCAGATGAGCAAGAAGCGAAAGTTCGTCGCTGATGGTGTCTTCTACGCTGAACTCAACGAAGTTTTCACTCGTGAGCTTGCTGAAGATGGTTACTCTGGTGTCGAAGTTAGGGTTACTCCTATGCGCACTGAGATCATCATTAGAGCTACTCGTACCCAAAATGTTCTTGGTAATTCTAATTTCCCCCCTTTTTTTTAGGGTTTTCCATTACATTTGATTCATTTTTTTGCGATTTTGATTTGGGTTTTTGATTGGATTAGGTGAGAAGGGAAGAAGGATTAGGGAGCTGACCTCGGTTGTTCAGAAGAGGTTCAAGTTTCCAGAAAACACTGTTGAATTGTATGCTGAGAAGGTTAACAACAGGGGTCTTTGCGCTATTGCTCAGTGCGAGTCTCTTCGTTACAAGCTTCTCGGCGGTCTTGCTGTCAGAAGGTATATTAATCTTTAAACCTTTTTTTCCATTGAATTTTAGTTTTGATTCGTTTAAGTTATCAACTTTTGTGAGCATTGATTGATAATGTATTGTTTGATTGTTATTTAGGGAAAAATGAATAATTATGTAACTTGTTTCATGCTGAGATCCTGCAAAATGTGCTTATGAAATGGAATTTGATTTATCTTGAATTTTCCCGATTTTAAATTGTTGTATTGAACTTTTGTAATGAATTTATTTGTTAATGGGTTGATTAACATATTTGCTAAATATATGTAGCCTTGAATGTTTTTGTCAGAATTATGTAATTATTATGCTTTCTTTTTGTTGAGTTTCTGTTTGTTTAATGACAATGTAGCTGCCAAATTTGATTAATTTGCATTTGTTTGAATTTGCACTTTTAGATGGAGTAATATGATTAATTGTTTTGCTTTGTGTGATATGTGCATTGATTATGCTGTCTTCTTGTAGCCTGTTGTATGTTGTATAACTTGTATTGTCCATTTAAATATCATTCATTGAACATTAATTGTTGTCATCCATAAAGCAGATTGGTTCCTCTGTACCGGTTCTGTGTCGGAAGGTGACTAGATTAAACCATCCTCCATGCTATTATCCTCGTGAAATAAGTTGACTATTCACTTAAAACCTGCTAGAGGGCACATCTATTAAGCCAGCCTTAATAACTTGTTTTTTGGCTTTAATTTTGTATGAATAATTCATATATAGTGAGCTATTTTTTGTTCTAAATAATAGTGATTTGTTGTTAAGATGATGAATTTCTAATGTTCTGTATAAGGCCGTGTTGTATAATAAGTGTTTATACCCTTCAATAAAGGAATTAAAAACCGAAATCAATAGAAAGTACTCCGTATCTTAGAAGAACGATGTTTTGGCTCAATATTTGTATTTCAGTATTGTGATAGACTATCTTTAATATTTCTTGTTTATCTTGTTGCCAGTAATATGTACAGGGCTATATGCTTCTTAACTTTTGGATATGTGCATAAAGGATATGTCTAACTTTCATCTTTTGTTAATTGCTTGAATGTTGAAATGATGTTTTTCACCTAATGTCTTCTACAAAGCTAGTTGGTCTTTCTGTACCAATCTTGTGTCGGAAGTTGACTATATTGAAGCCCTTCTCTTTCATTCTCCTATTGAGATATGTTAGTTTTCATGTAGTAGTGTTAGTGAGGGCACAAGATATGGTTATTATTTCCTTGATTTCGTCCTTTTTTCTTTTTTACTCTAAAAAGATTTAGTCTTTGGAAGTGTCGCAGTGGTTTGCTTTATTGATGATGTGATTGATGTCTAAACAATTGGGGTGAACCCATCTGATCTAGTCTTTTCTGGTTTCTAGAATTGTTTGTTGTGTACTCTCCATGAAATAAAATTTCATCTTATGAATAATTCTCTCCTTAAACATGCAACAGTTTCTGGCTCTAAGATTTTTCCTAATTCTAATTTTTCTGGTGGGTGTATGATTGTCTCTTTCAGGGCATGTTATGGTGTTTTGAGATTTGTCATGGAAAGTGGTGCCAAGGGTTGTGAGGTCTGTTAATAGTCTCCTAGATTTACCCTTTATAGTTTGCATTTGGCTGTTCCTTTTAATTTACCTTTTGTTTTTTGAACAGGTCATTGTTAGTGGAAAATTGAGGGCACAGCGTGCTAAGTCCATGAAGTTCAAGGATGGATATATGATTTCCTCTGGTCAACCAGTTGTTGAGTACATTGACTCAGCTATCCGACACGTGCTTCTAAGACAGGTAATCTTGATGTGCAAAATATGAATTTTGTATGGGTTATCTTTTATATTTGTGGTGTGTCTTTTTGCTGATGTCTAATTTTGTTTTGTATTGGCTTAAAACAGGGAGTGCTCGGAATCAAGGTTAAGATCATGCTTGACTGGGATCCCAAGGGAAAGATTGGACCTCAAAAGCCTATCCCTGATGTTGTTGTCATCCTCCCACCAAAGGAAGATGATGTCTATGCTAGGGTTCCAGTTTTGGCGCCAGAAGTTGATCTTGTAGATTCCAGTGGACCAGTACCTGTTGCCGTTGCATAAGCAGATTCATTAGCCTAGTTTACAGTACCTGTGATCCTTATTTTAGGTTTTCTTGTTTCATGACAGCTTAATGTTCATCTTTCGCTGAATTTCAGCTAAGATTATACAAATGCGTCATGGAGCTATTACATGCTGTAATTTCAATACTTAATTTTGAAAAAAGTTCTTTGTTGGCTTTAAGTTTGGGAGGACACTTCACCTTAGTAGAAGAATATTTAGCCTGATGAGTACTTTCCCTGATTTTGTGCTTTCATCAGGAATTTATTTTTAATTTAATTCTTATTCAACCTAAATAAGAGTAAATACAGACCATGAAAAGTCCTAACAGCATCATGTATGAAAATTGTCATAGCTACCAAGCGATATCAGAATCGAGTCATAGCGGTAAAGTAGTCAATTAATGTTATCTTTCTGATCATCTTTGTTTATTATTTTGCTTCATTGTCTAAAAATTGGAGTGGCTGTTTGTGACATGGAAGGCTGAAACTAGCTCAACTTAGGATCAATATGAAGAGTAAGATTTTGTAAATTTGACTAAGGTTTTGATTGTGTGTTAATGAGTGAAAAAAATGCATATTTGTGCTGAAAAACTGGAACATTTTATTCCCTGAAACTGAGACTCTAAATTCTTTTCATAGCTTTGGCTGAAATACAGAGGTTAAGCCGTAATGTTCTAGTTTGTCTTTTTTCAGCTTTAGATTTCAGGAGTGCTAAAGCAGCAGAATCATTTAGGATGCAAGTAGAAAGTGTGAAAGAACGGATGCTATTCTACTGGGAGTGTTTGATATTTGTTGTTTAGTTGGATATGATACTGTGATTACTGTCCTCTTATTTTTGATTGATAGCAATATAGCATGGTGAAGCTTGCTGTCAAGTGTTTGAGAAGACGCGGAAATGGCGTGACCAGCATGTCTTCATTGGGATTTATACTTTCAGAGGATAATTGGACATATCTATGCCCTGGCTGCTTGTATGTACAGTATGGAGAAGCTGCAGTAAAGGTACATGTCATCTATACCTATAGTTTAAAAAATAGTCGAGATTGTTTAGTTTTATACTAATAGACATTCGTAGTTACTCTAAATCTGCAATAACAGTCCCGTTCTAAAAGCAAATTGTAGGAATCATTACATATAAAATTTGTGATAATTTGTATTTTGGATTGTAGGAATCATTTTTCTTAATTATTATTCTTTCATCACACTTTATTTGGGGTGAATTATTAGTCGAAGTCAAAGCGATTTAGAATGAGAAATATTAAAATAAAGCCGTGGACAATCAGAGTAAAGACACTCTAAAATTTCAGTAAAATAGAAAAAAAAATTAACACTTATACAAGTGTTGGGACATATATTTAAGAAAAAGGCCATGCTTCCCTTGTGAGTTGTGACATGGAAGATTTAGTTGACTGTGGTATATTATTCTCATTTCTCAATAACAATCACTAAACAATAAGATGGATCACTAGGATTGTAAATCAAGGCCTAAGGCTACCCTAGCTGAATTCTAGTATCCCTTGCTAGGCTTCGTGGTTAATCCGAATCCGAATGGGAAAAGTGGATCATAATGTGGATCACCTACATTCATAGGGAGTTGATCAACACTCTTGAACCAAGTTCTAGGGCTCTTCCCTGTGAAACCATAATCACCAAACAGAACATCAGCAACACCCTGACCCTCAGTTCCTGGTAGCCAAGCAGCTACAAGGGCATTCATCTTGGAAACATATGGCTCGATAACAACAGGCCTGCCTGAGATGACAATGACAACACACTTCACTGCCCCACATACATTTTTAATGGTGCTGTAGCCGGGGTCAGCTATCGTTAGATTCATGCTGTCACCGAATGTCTCAGCATAAGGGGGTTCGCCCACCACAACTATGGCATAGGAGAATTTGTTGGACTTGACAAAGTTGCTATCAGGGTTCTCTTTGTACACTACTTTTGTCTTTGGATCAACTGTGCTCTTAATGGCTGTAAGGATCGTGGTCCCTGATTACATTAAGTAAAATTGCGATTAGTCGCATGTCAAAAAAAGCTCATCAAACTACAAAGAAACAAGGAGTAATGCAGCACACTCAAATGCAATAAAACGCACAAGTGAAAGCATAAACAATCAACACTCTGATAACTACTCTACCGTCCAAGATGCTGTGTCGACTGCCTGATCATTTTTTACTCTGTAGAGTGCACTGATTGATCAATGGTTAATATAAAAACTTTTTGTGATTAATACTTCTTCAATGCTGAAACAGCTTAGATTTGTTTTAGCTCAAAATAAGTATATCTATTTACTGCATCCGGTCCAAATTACTCGCAACTTTAGAATATTTTATATCTCACAAATAATACCCCAAAGTTGCGAGTAATTTGGACCGGAGGTAGTATAAATATTTTTATACTTTATTAGTTAAAAAAAAAAAATAAGCAAGGGATCTTTCTATTGAGTGAAGGTCAAAGTCATCACCTCAAAATATTAAGTCAAAAGCATAGGGTACCTGAATCTGGCTAAATTAAAAAAAAAAAAAAAAAAAAAACCCGAAAATAAGGAACATGGAGAAAATTATTACATCCACATGGTTGAACTATTATAAAACTTGGTCTAAAATCAAAGCACATGTTATGGCTGTAGACTTGCAGGAATGTGATTAAAGAAATCGGCAGTGAAGTGCAGAAGATATTACCTTCAGTGAGGTTGTTTCCACTGAGTCCTTGCCATTCAATAGTCCATCCACCACATTGGTTACCCAGATTGTCAGCATGGCTTCCAGCAACAAGTATCTTCGGCGCTTTCTTAGGAAGAGGTAGCATTGGCTTATCACCTTCCTGCCCGTTCTTCAATAGCACCAGTGATTTCCTCACTGCTTCCCTTGCTATTTCTCGGTGTTCCTGTTTTATTCAGTGAATGACTAAGGGGTCGTTTGGCATATAATTTGATGTTTCATTGTACGAAGGACTTAACAAATGAATGTAAGCTTATTAGAAGTACAAACCTTACTTCCCAGCTGGTGGACTTGGCTGTTATCAGCCAATGGGTACTCGAATAAACCCATTTGAAACTTGACTCTTAGAATTCTATGTACTGCATCATCAATTCTGCTCATTGGGATTTGATTATCCTTTACTAGGGAGGTTAGGTTACTAATGAATTCTGTGTAGTTGTAAGGAACCATGATCTGCAATGTTTACAGATGAAATGTTGTCTTAGAACACAGTAAATGAAGATAATAGACAGGTTTTATGCCGTAAAATGCCAGAGTATATAGCAGAATTGATTTGAAAGCTGGAGTTATAATAACCATATCAATGCCGGCGTGAATGCCCTCTAGTACAGACTTTGGATAGTCAGCATGTGGCGGTGAAGTAATCCTGTCGAGGCCCTGCCAGTCGGATATAACAAATCCCTGCCATTGTTTGTGTTTAAGAATCAAGAGTAAGTAACTAGTTAAAATCTGAACAGAAATATGCATGGAAGAAGTTTTTGTTTGATCGGTTAGCTAGAGAAAAGAAAACATACCCTGAATTTCAGTGTGTTTTTAAGGAAACCAGTAATGAGATTATAATTAGAATGCATCTTAACACCATTCCAGCTGGAGTAAGAAACCATGACTGTAGATACACCACTGATAATTGCGTTGTAGTAGCCTGGCATGTGAGTGCTGAGCAACCCATGAAAGTCTATGACCGTGTTGTTCTCGTTGATCCCGTCTGTAGTGCCACCATCACCCACATAGTGCTTGGCACAAGCAGCAACCTTGTTCCTGAATTTAATTAGATCATCAAGCCATGTATAGCATGACAAACTCAAAATACATAAACCAAACTCAGCTATTTTTTTAAAACTTGAGTGATTAAATTATGTCTGATTGATTTCTTTGCTTGGTCTTCTTAATTGGAGGTAACAATACATATGATGTTATCCATCCATCACAATGCCTATACAAAGGCAATATCATAACCTGAAACGGTGGTATGTATCATTCATACTCTGATCAAATTATTTAGCTCTTATGTTATTTATGGGATCAACGAATCACAGATACAGTCATAAGAGATACACAATTACACAGTCTAGGAAAAAGATTATGCCGCGGTTGTTTCAGATTATCTATGTCCCTTCAGCCCTTCCAATTCAGTCACTACCTCACTGGCATAGCCCAGAATTCAACCATGACTTTTTTTTAAGCCATATGACATTTAGTGAGTTGATTGTGTTAATTATTCAAATAAACACTCTGTCAACCATGTTTCAGGATTTTGGTTCCCCAGACTTTAAGCAACTCGAGAAATTATTTATTTGCAAATTGAGCTCTTATAGTCGTATATATCAAGTGGTTTTACTCAACACATATAATCAAGTCACTGGTGGAATTGTGGTCCAGATCACTCCTGTCATGCCATCAATATAGGCTTCATCATTTGACCAATAAACCATAGTTTATTGCATCTGACATACTTTTTCAATCCACGTTTTCTAAACAATCAGAAAAGCATGCTAGTGGATCCAATCTCAATTAGCAATCATACTAGACTATGAGTACATTCCAAAATTTTGTTTCAACAAAGCGCTATTGTCTTCGTCCTATTTTATTTGCCTCATCTCCTTTTTAAAGCGTCTCAATTTACTTGTTCCATTTTGTTTACAATTGTGCTTAATTTTTTCTCTCAACCTTTTCACTTAAATTAAATCATGTGCAAATAATTACGGAGCAAGTAAATTGAGACAGACAAAGTAAACATCTAATACTTCCACAATATAATAATGTCTCATTTACTAATTGCAACAATCTAGAAAATTATTCTTTTTTTTTTTAAATAATTTTTCAGCCATAATTTATTTTTTTGAAACATTTTCAGCCATAATTTAAAATATACACTATTAAGATAAGGTTGTTACTTGTTAGTAATAGATAAGACATTTGGGAAAGAGTAATGTTGCAGATAAGTTAAGATAGTATAGAAAATTCATCTTCTAAAGTCAGTGAACCAAAAATTCTGTAACAGAAATATGAAAAGGAAGAACTTACTGTCCACCAACAAAGGGTACACCCTTTCTTGAGTTGTGTGGGATTTCACCCTGTAAACCTGGTATAATCTCAGTCATTTTTTGGACTATTTTTGGATCTTCACTATAACTCTCATAACATCTTCCCCATCTTGGATCTCTGCATACCTGTTTAATAGTGTATAATGTATAGTTATATAATTGAATGAATATCTGAATATTATTGCTAATTTGAATCTACCTATTACTCTGAAATTATCATTTATTACTGTTTTGCTGTTACTGATCAAACATACCGCGATACAAGGTGCAAAAACATAAGGAATTCCGGTAGCTCTAACTTCCAATGCAGTTGCAGCACCAATTCTCTTAACAAGTTCAGGGTCCCTGATTCATACATACATAGAAAATTCATAGCAATGTATAATATGATTCAGGCACGCACAAAAACACAAAAAAAAAAACTCGTAGCTACTCTCTTCGTTCCATAATTAGTTAACATCTTCTATTTTGGATTACCTAGTAGCACCCAATCCAACATTGTGAGGGAAAACAGTGGCCTTGTAGACATTGTTGTGACCATGAACAGCATCAATCCCATAAATCATAGGAATACCGAGGCGAGTAGAGAGAGATCCTTGTTGGAACTCATTCACCATTTTGATCCAAGTCTCAGCAGAGGCCTGTGGAGCAGGAACACTCCCTCCTCCACTTAGTACACTCCCTTCAATATCGAACCACACCAAAATTCAACGTACTTTAGACATCGAAAAAATAACAAACATTCTAAAACACAATAGAAATTAGCTATATCATGTCAAATGTTGTGTAATTTACCAATGAAGTACTTGCTCATGACATCGCCGGAGGCTACACTCCTTTCAATCTGAGTCATTTGGCCAATCTTTTCCTCGAGTGTCATACGACCCATAAGATCACGAGTTCGAGCATTGATTGGTTGCTTTGGATCTTTGTATTTCACATAATCTGCATTTGCTGAAGTTGTGCAGCAACATATAGACAGCAAAATTGCCACCCAATAAATGGGATGCATTGCCATTTTGCTAATTTAAAGAAGCCTTCTTTTTCTTGTTCCCTTCAAATAAACAATGTAACAAATATTTGAGCTAAAATCATATGTAAAATGATGCATAAATATACATAAACTTGGATTTCTATATAATTTTTTTTTAAAAAATCTCATTTGACAATTTAATGTTCCCACGATTTCCCATCCCACATTGTCTGCATAAACCAACAAAATATCTTGTAAAATACCTTACAATAATGATATGGGACCATATACTATAATGAATATGTTACGCGGCTTACGCCCACATAAAATCATGCATTAAATCAAAACAACTAAGGGAATCAAAATTATGAGACAAATTAGGTACCACTCTTCCATTATTTCCATTATGAAACCTCGAACACTATTATAACTCGTGTTATAGACATAATTCCGTTTCAGGTCTTAAGTACCACCCGCTAATCCAGCTAATGGGATATCCGTGGACACTAAACTGTTATACTCTGTAAAACTAGTAAATCATCCTAACAAACTATATCATATGCAATAAATTCAGCAGCTAGCAATGCAAATTAGTACTTGTATGAGACAAAAGAACCAAGTATAATTATAAGCATTAAAAACATGTACAATATTGTACATTCTACTTAAAACTTTGAGTAATGCTTAATTAAAAACTGTAGTTATCAAGAACTTACAAAAGAGAGAACTTTCTGGCTTACAAAATACAAAGAAAGTAGATGAGAGAAAGAGAGAGGAGTTGAATGAGAAGTGAATAATAGTGAGTTGGAATGACATATATGTATTTATAGAAAGTCAGATTTTCTTACGTGCTTCCTCGTCTGATTTGATTACTGTTGAAAGGTCCAAAATAAGGAATTATATTATCTTTAGTGACACCTACATACATGTGACTTAGATTAATTATATCCAAATTATTTTATCATAAATGTGTTCTACAATTTCTATATTTTATTGCCGTCAACATTTTCTAATAATTGGTCATTCTTATCCTTATATAAATTATTTTGCTTGCTCGTTAATTATGGATCTTGATCGCCCCCTTTTATGGTAAGTGTAATCAATAATGCATTGTTTCTTATATGGTAGTTCTTATTCTCTCTCTTGTTCCACATCATCATAAATTCTTATTAAGCTCCACCCTTCATATACCCAAAGAAATGCACTAGGTTTTAATACTATATCTTAATCTCTCTCTTCTTTCTCTCTCTTACTTTTAATAATTGCTCCATCATTATTATATTTGTCCAACAACACTTTTTTTTTTGAGGAACACTTTTATTATTATTATTATTATTATTATTATTATTGCTGCTGCTACTACTACTAGTATATATGCTTGTTTTTTTAATTATTGTTTTTTGGTATTAAACAACATACAAATGTATTGTTAAATATGAGTTATATAATGTACTTAAAAAAAATTGGCATTAATATTGAATATGGAGATAAGAACTTTTGCATACAATAACACATTAACAATAGTAAAAAAAACATAAACACAATTAAAAGAGAAAAAGAAATACATTCAGAAATTAAAATTAATATGAATAAAAATACATTTTATTCCTCACCATCATGACCAAACCGATCCCAGATATGTTCCATTAAGTCATCTCGCAATTGAATATGGGTTTCCGTATTTCGTACTCTCATCCTATTCCTTAGGTATGTTTGCATATCGGCACGCCAACGTACATTATAATTAGTTGGCGAGTCATCATCATTTTCTGCTTGATCAAACTGCCTAAAATCTCCATACTCTTCATTGTGAAGGTAACCTTGTCGTTCATCTTCAACAATCATGTTATGCAATATGATACAAGCTATCATTATTTTTTGCACAACTTCTATTTTCCATATTAGTGCCGGGTTTCGTATTATAGCAAATCTAGCCTGGAGAACTCCAAAAGCACGCTCAACATCTTTTCGTACCGACTCTTGGCGTTGCGAAAATAATTTTGCTTTTCGACCTTGTGGAAGTCGAAATGCTTGCACAAAAGTTGCCCATTCTGGATATATACCATCTGCTAGGTAATATCCCATATTGTATTGGTGACCATTTACTTCAAAATTGACTGGTGGGGCTCTTCCTTCAAAAATATCATTAAAAACTGGAGATCGATTTAGTACATTGATGTCGTTTGATGAGCCCGGAACTACAAAAAAAGCATGCCAAATCCATAAATCTGCCGATGCAACTGCTTCTAATATTATTGTAGATTTACCATCTCGACCTTGAAATTGTCCTTGCCAAGCAGTTGGACAATTTTTCCACTCCCAATGCATACAATCTATACTTCCCAACATGCCTGGGAATCCACGCACCTCTCCAATGTGCAATAGCCTTTGTAAGTCTTCTTCATTTGGCTTCCTCAAATACACGTCTTGAAACTCGGCAATTATAACATCAACAAATCTACTTAAGGCATTGAGTGAGCTTTTCTCACTAATTCTAACATACTCATCGATTTGGTCAGCTGCTACTCCATATGCCAATAATCTCATAGCTGCAGTGCATTTTTGTAGTGGTGAAAAACCGGGCTTACCAACTGCATCATATTTTTGTTGAAACCATGGATCGCGTTGTTGGACTCTTTCAACTATATGCATAAATAACGACCTTTTCATCCTAAACCTCCGTCGAAATTGATCATCAGTATATACTGGATTCTCAGCAAAATAATCTAAGAATAACCGGTTGTGACCGGCAACACGATATCTTGGTCGATTGGGAGAACGATTCTTCCTCTGCCTTTGAGAAGTGGAACTCCTTCTAGTGAGCTCGGTAACAGTTTCAGCAACAATTTGATTGCGATGTGGCATTTCCATTACCCAATTACGAGCCATTTGCCATTTGTCGGACTTGTGAACGGGGGTTTGGATTTTCATGATCTAAGCTTGCAGAGCTTGAACTTGAACTTGAACTAGAAGCCATAATTATTTTTGAAGATACTGCGTATTGAAATTTTTGTGAAATAAGAGAGGAATTGAATTGTAAGTTGTGTAAACATTAATGTACAAGGTGTTATTATATAGATTTGAAAAGTTAAAGATGCTTGTAAATAATTGATGTGCCATGAAAGACACGTGACACACCATGCATTGTCACACAAAAGTCATATTATATCAATACAATGCTATTGATGTTGGCAGAAGAGCTCTGAGTACATCGATAATTCACCTGCAAAAGAAAATGCCTCAAAATTATTTATGTACGTGGTTTTTGACTCATGTTTCAGCATGTTTGTACTATTTGGTCTTTTGTCGTTTTAAAATTACAAACATAAGCATGTTTTTTTTGTTTTTTCAATACAACATAACGAATAAGATTAAGAATTACACTGATACGATTAAGAATTACACTGATACAATTAAGAATTATGCTGATACGATTAACTAATATCATTAACTAGTAGTAATTAAACATAACAACTATTGATAAACTACAATTACATTAAATTAACAATGATGTTTAAAAATAAAGTCATTACATGGTCATTAATTCGTCCCACAACTTATTTTTACGAGCTTCATCTTCCTCTGATAAAGTATCTTGACTTAGTAATGCTTGTAGTAGTTGATATTTTAATTCCTGTTCTTTCATGATTTGGGCTTGTCTTTTTCTTTCCTCTCTAATTCGTTCAACCTCAACGAACTCCTTCACTGCCTTTGCAGTTTCTTCGTTTGAATGTTGTACACTTGCAAGTTTCTCTTGCAAAGGATCAACAACATCAGTTGCCTTCATCTTCAATTTCCTTTTTGCTGCCTTTTGACCCCCTGGTCGTGTTAGGGGGTTAGCACTTTGTGGTGTTCTTTCTGCAGATGACGAAGAAAAATTTCTACTTTCGTCTAGTCTTGATCTTTTTTCACTCCCCTCACTTCCTCCAGATTGATTGATACCACTTGGAGTTTGATAATTTGGAGGATCAAATAAGGGTGTTGATGAATCGGTGGTGTACACAAATGCATTCATAAATTTAGGTTGGTTTTTTAATCTTTCATATGCAAAGTCAAACTTAAAATCTTCTTCCATATCAGAATAATAAATTGCGTTAGCTTCATTAGTGACATCTAAAGTGCACTCACCGCTTTTATTTCGTTGTTTGCATAGATCAACACATGCTGCATATTTTGCAACTGCAGGTCGTATTTTTTGCCAGCGACACTTGAGTTGTTGAAGTTCTCTTGGTCTTCCCCCACTACGATGCTTGTTGTAGTAGTCTACTATCTTACTCCAAAATGCTTCACCGGTTTGATTAGTACCATTTACTTTATCAGGAGCATAATTGAGCCATCCACTAATTAAAAGGTTATCTTGGGCCTTATTCCAAGATATCCTCCTCCCTTTACCACTTGAAATTGTTGGTGTTGGTTCATCATTATCACCTTCATTTTCTTCTTCTGCCACAGAATTAATGTTAATGTTACTAAGAGATACACCGGATCCCGAACCTCCACAACCATGATTAACCACATCCTCACCTTCAGATTCCCCGACACTTGACAAATTTGTACCATTTAACATATTTGTAAAATAATTTGAAGAATTTTGAGTGGAGTATGGGGAAAAAGATGAAGTTGAAATGTTATTCCCCATGTTTTGGTGATGGTTAATAGAAGGATGAAAATTAGGATTTATATTTGGATTTACTTGAAAATTTGGGTTTATTGGGTAGTTTGGATTGGTGGGAAAATTTGGATTATTGGGATAATTTTAATAAGTGGGGTAATTTTGATTGTTTGGATAATATTGAAGATTTTGATCATCCATTATGTAATTTGGATTTGTAGGGTAATTTATATTTGTTGTGTAGTTGGGTAATCTATAATTTGGATTATTTTTATCCATGTTGAGAAATATATATTAATTATGAAAGGAAAAATTTTTTACAAAAAATTGAAGTATGGTAATTTTGGTGATCAAGTTATCTACTTTTATATTGTAAAAACAAATTAAATAACCGTTACATATTAATATTACATTGTTAAAAAAATTTCAACTTAAATTCTTTTTTTTAAAAAAAGGTGATTTACATGCATGCATTCAGTAAAAGAACCGTTGGAGCTCTTTTGCATGCATGCATTTGCCATGTGTAAATGTTGGAGGCTTTCTGCATTTATCTGAATTTGCTCTGCCAAAATGCAGAGTTTCGGTGGATATTTTTATCAAAACGCACATACATTATAGTGGCACCCATGTCGTTTAATGCCAACTCATCACCAGTTCTTATTTTCAAGACCCATTGCTTATTTCAGAATCCCTTAACACAATTTCTAAATTAGAAACTCCCATTTCTCACCTAAGAACTAGCTCTTATATTTTCTCTCTCCTTAAGAACCACCTAAGAACCCCCCATTATTGATGCTCTAAATCCGAAGTGTCATACTTCATTTTTTTTAAATGCTAGCAGTCTAGCACTATATAATATTTTTGCTTTACACGGAGTACTAATTTTTATCATATATGAGTATATGACGGCATGATGCTCTATCGCCTTTTTATTTCAAATTACTTGCAAAGTTGTAATATTTTGTCTATTTACACTATTCACACACCTCATTTTTATTTTTCCTCTTTTGATAATATTTGAAAGCAAATGTTTGTATGTAAGATGATAACTTTACAATCAGTGAATTCAACATAGCAATCCCATAATCAATCAAATCACAATTTTCCCCATTATCATAAGATTTTATTCTTCACTATCAATCTTCCCATCAGCAAATCTACAATACGGAGTACCTAATTAATTTATAAAAATATTCCCTTTTTTACAAGATTTATAAAAATATTCCTTTGAATATCATTGCTCACTCATTTATTGTATACAAATATTCGAGAGATTGTTAATTTTATTATATACACCGGGTGTACAATACACCTAAAGATATTTGTGCTGTTAATTTTATATGATAAAATAAGCAATAATCATCGAAATGAGCCAATAAGACCCTTGAGTGCACCGTACACCCGAGTACACATAATAATTTCTACAATATTCACCTTCTATTCTTTTTACGTGCACTATCTCACGATTCTTTTTGTCCTTAGTATTTAAAAACTCATAAGATTTTAATATTTAATGATGTAAATTATTTTAATGCATAACTCACGGATCATGTGATAGAAAAAAACTATACTCGATCTATACTTAGTATTTAAAAACAAAAACCAAAGTTGTCAAATGTCCTCCTCTCCCTTTACTTTTCTCTAGAATCATTCTATTTTCTTATCTTTACATAAAACTTTTCCATCTCCCCGCTTTATTTCTAATTTTCTCAATAGATCTTTATATTCTATAACCTCCACTAAATCAACAATTGATTTTGTTAACCTTCTCCTCTTCTCCCTCTATCTTTCAATTCCATTTAATCACATTAGTCATTTAATTCATTAACCCTTTATGTTCCCCAATCTGTTATATAAATACATAATTTCAATGAAGTTTTTTTCGAAAAATATTGTGTAGAACGGACTCACGTGAGTCCGTTATAATAATCGACCCTCGCTCGGCCCGTTTATTTAAAGTTTAGCTCGTGCACGGCCCGAACTTTAAATAACCATGATTTATTTATTTATTTTTTTTGAAAAAAAAATATCAAAACTAGCGTTCTGCCTTCCTTCTTCTTCTCACCCACGTTTTCTGCATTCTCACTCCATTTTTAATAGTTACACTCTATTACTATGGACTTAACTTCACGTTTCCGAATTATTCGCATCACTACTTCATTTTCTAGCTTTAAATTTATTTGCATGTATTTATGTTTTACTTCTTCTATATAAACCCTAACATTCGTCATTTTCGATTCCATTAATGTCTCACATTCCGTCGATTAAAGATTCTTCTCCGTTAAAAGTTTACCTTAAACAAACTAAACAAGCACGAAAATGGGAGAAGACAATGAAAGATGTATTATATTCCAGTTATTTTTTAAGTTATGCTCTTTTTTTAAAAATTTATTTTTATAAGTTATTATTTCGTTTTGTAGGATCGATTCAGAACCTCCATTGAAGAAGCGTGGTCCTAAACTTGGTTCTAAACGAAGTCGAGCTGTTAGGTGTGAAATTATATTCTATTTATTTCGCAAAAAACATAGCATTCTGAACTTGTTGTTTCATATAGAATCTTTTTTCTTGGGAAACATACATATCTGGTTATTATATTGTAATTTGATAATAGATTATTTTTGTCAGGATTATCTTGTTCTTGTTTTGCCCTTTGGTGTGGATATGGTTGTGTCACTATTCATAATGCTATATCATGATGTGAATACTTAAGAGTTTTGCATTTAATATTTTTAAGTCAGAAATAAGATTATTATTTTTAGGAATTAGATATTATTAGCCAGGATTTAGGATGGTTTAGCTAGATATTAGGTAGTTCACTTAAGGTATTGGTGTATTTTAGTTAGACATATTATTCTAAAAGTCAGAAATTAGCAAGTTTTAGTTAGATATTAGCTTATTTATATCAGGGATCGGTCTATGTTTATCAGGCATAAAAAAATTAAATAGTTAATTGATGATGTGAATACTAAGAGTTTTGCATTTAACAATTATAAGCTAGAAATAAGATTATTATAATCAGGAATTAGCATGCTTTATTAAGATATTAGATAATTTAATTAAGTTATTGGTGCATTTTAGTCTGCTATAACATTTTAAAATTCAGAAATTAGCAAGTTCAAGTCAGAAATAAGATTAATATAATTGAGAATTAAATATTATTAGTCAGGAATTAGAATGGTTAAAAAATTCATCTCAGGTATTGGTGTATTTTAGTCGGGAATAACAATTTAAACGTCAGAAATTAGCACGTATTAGTCAGATATTAGATAACTTATATCAGTTATTGGTGTATGTTTATCAAGCATAAAAATATTTAATAGTCTTTGATTTTACTTAGAGGGGTTGTCAGTACTTTGTGATTTGGATAAAGATATTTAAAATAATGATATGTTTATTAGGAATAAGATTATTTTGGTCAGAAATGATTTATTTTTGTCAGCAAAAAGATATTTATTCTCATAAATAAGATACTATTATCATGAATAACATAATTATTATCATGAATAAGAATGTTTTAGATAGCTCTCAATTTTAATGTGATTTTTTTACTTTTCAAATTTGCAGTTTTTTTTACTGAAGATGATATTGAAGACTTAGAACTTGGTAATAAATCTGGTCCTAATCATCTTTGTCAAATTCTGGAAGATTTAAGTGATCAGCAAAAGAAGGATGTAAAAGAAATTGGTTTTGGTGGGTTGCTAAATATGAAATTGAAGGATAATATTAACAATCAGTTGCATGGTTATATAGTAACTCATTATAATCCCAAGGCAAGAAATCTGATTGTTGGTAAAAAGGAACATGCCATTCATATTGATAGTTCTGATATTGCTGATGTTTTGGGTATTCCTTATATTGATGTACGTACCCATGAAAGAGATTTAAATAAACAAGAAAGGCTTTAATCCTGATGACATTTTGAAGTTAGAGTGGAGGAAGTTTTGGGTTTGGATATAGAAGAAGAATTGGAAAAAGGAAATGAATATGAAACTAACAAGAAAAAGAAGAGGAAAACTGGTGATGAATCTGAAAAAGGTATTCAAAGTAAGAAGAAGGAATATGAAAGAGCAGCTCAAAGTAAGAAGAAGAAGACATATGTCAATTTTCTTACTTATCAAGCATTGTTTGAGAAATATAGGGGGGAGCTTATGAATTCAAGAGACTATTATGTTTGCTGTATCTAATTTTTTTGCTCCAATTGGTGATAAGTCCCCCAATTTTAAAATCATCAAGTCTTTGGAAGATGTACGTTTCATAAAGACTAACAACTAGGCTAGTTATGTGATGGATTGGTTATGTACATTAATAACAGAGTTTCAGGCTTTTGTTTTGAAGAAGAAGGCAGGAGAAGAATTGAAAACTAAATCAAAACAAGTAAATGGCTGTTTGGTTGCCTTTGTAATTGCTTTTTTGCAAAAGTTTAGTTTGGGACCACTTTAGATAGGAAGCCATTTGTAATGAATTGGTCATGTGAAACTCCGAATGAGAGGATTAAAGCCGTTGTTGAAAATATTGATTACGATACTATGAAATTGTATCCTCAGACATTACCATTGCAGTATGCCGGGAAAAGTGAACAGGAGCTTCTAAAATCTTTTCAGTTGGATAACATTGAGTTTAAACGTGAAGATACTGATGATGATGAAGATTCTGGTGAAAATAAGGAAGGTTAGGTGTACAATCTGCCCCCATTGATTTGAAAGCTGAAGATGACCAAGCTAGATATGTCATGTACATGATTCCTAAATAGTACCCCACTGATGATGAGATTGATAAAATGGATATTGATGTAAGTTTAAAATCTCATCTTTTTATTAATTTATTAAAGCTTTTGATTCAAGAATTCATACTGTATAACCTGTTGTTATGTACTAACTCTTTTTGTCAGTAATTTAGTGATTAATATAATATGAATGAGGTTTAATTGCAGTCAGAAATTAGTTTAGTTTTATCAGGAGTAAGAAATTTAATATCAGAAAATAAATTAAGACACTCAATATTAATATTATAAGTCAGAAATTAGATTA